GTGATGCACTGCTTAATATCATGTTGCACTGCCACATATTGTGATGCACTGCTACATATCGTGTTGCACTGCCACATTTTGTGATGTACTGCCTAATATCATGTTGCACTGCCACATATTGTGATGCACTGCTACATATTGTGTTGCACTGCCACATTTTGTGATGCACTGCCTAGTATCATGTTGCACTGCTACATATTGTTTTGCACTGCCACATTTTGTGATGCACTGCCTTATATCATGTTGCTCTGCCACATACCATGTTGCACTACTACATATTGTGATGTACTGCTACATATTGTGTTGCACTGTCAAATATCATGTTGCACTGCTACATATTGTGATGCACTGCTACATATTGTGTTGCACTGCCTAACATTATGTTGCACTGCCACATATTGTGATGCACTGCTACATATTGTGTTGCACTGCTACATTTTGTGATGCACTGCTTAATAACATGTTGCACTGCTACATAGTGCGATTCACTGCCACATATCGTGTTGCACTGCCACTGCCACATTTTGTGATGCACTGCCTAATATGTTGCACTGCCACATATTGTGATGCACTGCTACATATTGTGCTGCACTGTCACATATGTTGCACTGCTACATATTGTGTTGCACTGCCACTGCCACATATTGTGATGCACTGCCTAATATGTTGCACTGCCACATATTGTGATGCACTGCTACATATCGTGTTGCACTGCTACATTTTGTGATGCACTGCTACATTTTGTGATGCACTGCTTAAGATCATGTTGCACTGCTACATTTTGTGATGCACTGCCACTGCCACATTTTGTGATGCACTGCCACTGCCACATTTTGTGATGCACTGCCACTGCCACATTTTGTGATGCACTGCCTCGTATCATGTTGCACTTCCACATATTGTGATGCACTGCTACATATCGTGTTGCACTGCTACATTTTGTGATGCACTGCTACATATCGTTTTGCACTGCTACATTTTGTGATGCACTGCTACATATCGTTTTGCACTGCTACATTTTGTGATGCACTGCCTAATATTATGTTGGACTACCACATATTGTGTTGCACTGCCTCTGCCACATATTGTGATGCACTGCCTAATATCATGTTGCACTGCCACATTTTGTGATGCACTGCTTAATATCATGTTGCACTGCCACATATTGTGATGCACTGCTACATATCGTGTTGCACTGCTACATTTTGTGATGCACTGCTTAATATCATGTTGCACTGCTACGGTACATTTTGTGATGCACTGCTTAATATCATGTTGCACTGCCACATATTGTGATGCACTGCTACATATTGTGTTGCATTGCTACATTTTGTGATGTACTGCCTAATATCATGTTGCACTGCCACATATTGTGATGTACTGCTACATATTGTGTTGCACTGCCACATTTTGTGATGCACTGCCTAGTATCATGTTGCACTGCTACATATTGTTTTGCACTGCCACATTTTGTGATGCACTGCCTTATATCATGTTGCTCTGCCACATACCATGTTGCACTACTACATATTGTGATGCACTGCTACATATTGTGTTGCACTGTCAAATATCATGTTGCACTGCTACATATTGTGATGCACTGCTACATATTGTGTTGCACTGTCAAATATTGTGATGCACTGCCACATTTCATATTGTACTGCTACATATTGTGATGCACTACTACATATTGTGATGCACTGCTACATATTGTTATTGTGATGCACTGCTACATATTGTGATGCACTGTTACATATTGTGATGCTACATTTTACTTAAAATGTGTTTATACTGTACTCATCTTGCAGAAGCAAACAGAACAAAATTGATTTGGAGTGTACTGTATTGCATTGCTGCATGTACATAGTGCAGCTATATAGCATACATAAATCAATGCAGTATGTACATTGAAAAAGACTCAGTGCTCGACCTCTGTCATTTAGTATGTACCGGTAATGTCCCTATTAGTGAACATCATGGTCTATCATGTTATCTGTATGACACATACTTGTGAACATATATGTCATTTCAACCACTGGAATGATAAGCTTAACAACAGAATTTGTGATTTGAAAAGCTAGATGCCGAAAAATAAGCTTCAGGTTAATCCTGATAAAAACAGATATTTTGATAATTGCTAGGCAACGATTGACATATTGAACCAACTCAGTATCTGTAAATACCAACAGTTTGATGACCATCACTGATAATGTACCTAAAGTCATTTTTGACAACCATCTGTCTATGGAATCTATGGTTTTTTTATGTAAATCAACATTCATTGAATTTTGCAGAATATGACAAATCAAGAAGTGTATATTAGTTAAAAACTACAGAAAATCTTATTCATGCACAAATTGGTTCTAGACTTGATTACCGTACTGCAATAGTTTATTGTATTGTATTCTGGGGCTCATATGTCTAGGTTACAGGGTGTCAAAAGTACTGTGGGAAGACTGATTTTGGGGAGAAGATAGACTCACATTACGCCTAACCTAATTGACCTCCACTGGATGTCTTGTCAAATACAGGAGTCATTTCAAAGATGAAAGTCAAAGGCTGCAAGGTCAGAGTAAGGAGGATGGGGAAAGATTTCATAGCCCCGCCTCTTGATTTTGATAGCTTCTCTTAATTTCATCAAAAGTGAAGCGTAATAGACTCCTGTAATTGTGGTATCACAAGGAAATCTGTCATCACTACTCCGTCCTGGTCCCAGAAGACTGTGAGCATGACCTTGCCAGAGGACGGCTGCACCTTTGCCTTCTTTGGAGTCCAAATGCTTCCACTGCATTGACTGGGCTTTGGTCTCTGGATCATAGTGATGGACCCAAGTTTCATCCTGTGTAATCAGTCTTTTGAAAAACTTTTACTCATCTTCTTGGCACATCTCCAAATTCATCCTCGAGCCCTCAACGCGTTCTTGCTTCTGGAAAGGTGTGAGCAACCTGGGAAGCCATCTGGCAGACACCTTTTGCATATGCAAATGATCATGAATGATAGTTTCCACAGACCCTGTACTAGTCTTGACCTCTTGGGCTATTTGGCGAACAGTAATATGTCATTCTTCCAAAATGTCTGCCTTAACTTGACGGACAGATGCCTCATCAATGGCAGAAGAAGGACGACCAGGTCTGGGAGCTGTTTCCACAGATTCCGGCCATGTTGAATTCACAATGCCAACGTTTTACAAGGTCATATGATGGGGCATCATCACCATAAGTTTCTTTCATTTCATCAAAAGTCTCCTTTGGTGTGCATCCTTTAAAATAAAAAAACGATCACTGTGCGACACTCAACTGGCTTCATTTCACACCTGACTCCAATCAAACACCTGTATATCAGAAAACACAATCAGTTCAGAGCTGTTTTTTGCAACATAACCCATAGAGATGTAAATCATTACACATGCAAAATTTGGAAGTGGGTCAGGGGCATTACTTATTATTGAACGCTCCTCTTAAGTTGATAAGTTATTAATTATTATTAGTATAAAAAATCACCATGGACCATTTATAAATTATCTCTTTATTTTTTTCAGAAATATTTGGATGGCGGTTACTCAAACAACTTGCCTTTGTTTCGTGAAGGTCACACAATTCAAGTATCACCATTCTCAGGTGGCCAGGATATATGCCCTAAAGATAAAAAAGGTCTGGATTTGTACATCAGAGTCATTCACCAGTTTTTTAAAATTAATCCTAGCAACATTTTGAGAACCAAGCATGCATTATTTCCTCCTAAAACCAAGCTGTTGGAGTTATACTATCGATGTGGTTTCCAGGATGCATCTAAGTTTCTAAAGTTGTGGAATTTTTATGATGAAGTACCTGTAGAGAATAATGAAAATGGGAAAGCTGATGAGGCTGTTGGAGGAAATAATTCACCCACAAACTATGAAACATCTCTATGATTGGAAAGATTACTTGATGACTGCTTTAGTTGCCTACCATTGAAACAAATGATTGGATTTCTTTGATTGTTGCATGCTGTTGTTCCTAAAACCCAGAGTAAAATATACGGTCACCAAACCACTTTTGGCACAGAACGCAGGTATTTTTAGCTATTTACTGTTGGTTTCTATGATGAAAACTTTGTTTTGTTACTGATAGTGAACATTTAATGTGTGGCTATAAGATGGATATTTACGGTTATCATAGAATTATTTCAAAGTCTCAAATACTATATAATTTCAATAAAATCAAGCTTTAGCATGGATTCCTAATGGATATTTTTTTAAAATTATTTTAGGCAGTTTTCTCCAAAAAATTAATTTACACTTGAATATTTTACATTATTTACTAAGTAAATGGTAGTTTGACTGTTGTCTGGTTATCAATAGTAAAGTTGGTACTTCCCACCACTTATAGGTTGACTGGTTATCACAACTTGCTGGTGTTTAGCTCCATTTGTTGACAAACTACTGTATTTGCTCTATTAGAAGCACATCTCTAATAAAAGCACATAACAATCCAAATCACATTTGTTATATACTTAGTCTTTAAATATTACTTATTTTGACAACTGACACATTTCTGTATTTTATATAAGCACATGTGCAATGAGTAAAGCTGTATTGTGAACAAAATTTTGTTTGAAACCTTGTCATGTAATACAGTGAATTGCAGGAACCTGGGGACGTTTTTTTAAATATAAATTATCATGAATCAAAATGGCTGTTACATCTTGAATTGACCAATCAAAAATGGTATATTTATTAACATAATATTTATGAGTTAATTCAATATCATCCAATCAGTAAGTGCTTCATTTTGAATAAGTTGACAGTCACGGCTGCTATTTCATGTGAAGGCAAGCGGCTGCATTATGGATGTTGTCAATGTTGAATATTTGAAAGCTGATGTTTAGTATTTACAAACTGTTATGAATATGGTTATAAACTAAAGTACAGTTTTCTGTCTTTCACTGTATGTGTACAGCTTGCCAATAGTCAAACAAGCCAAACTGTTCCTTGGATTTGGTTGTGTTTTGAGTTTTCAGTATCTTCAGGTGTCTTCATTAAGTCACTGAATGGCATTCTCTGTTCAATGATGGAAGATGGATATGAAGCATTTTCCATGATAAGATTTATTGTAGTAAAGACAATAATAATCAATAAGGTTTGGATCAGTATAACTTGCGAATACAGATTTGATTTTTGGTGATCTTAGTCAAAATTTAAAGAGCTTTCAACTAAGTTTTGCCAACATTGCAACTTTAAAGATGCATTGCAGCAATAATGCCATACATCTTCTATACTTGTTGCTAGTCAATAGTCAATAAATTAGTGCTTTCATTATGAGTATAGGGCTTTGTTATCCATAAAAACTTATTGATACTGTAGTATATATTAGTATACACTGAAGTCAGGTAGGGTGGGTACTTTATAAACATAAATCTTTTTAACCTTTTCACCACCAGACTTTCTCACCCAAATTGTTCTGCACACTTTTTTATATTCTTCAATATTTCTGGAAATAAATTCTAATTTTGGAGCCAACAGACAAAATTTGAGTTAATTTTTATTCAAAAAACTTAACTATTTTTGTCCCAATCTTCTGAAGGAAAGTGCAAACTGTACAGGACTATTTTGTGAATTTGTCATGAAAAGAGAAACTAGTGATGAAAAGGGTAAACTCAAACGACAGTTTATGGTTGAGTATATGCATGTCATTCTATGACCACTTCATAGAATGGAGAGAGGTGGAGATTTCAAGTGAAAGTAGTTTATAATTTTTAGTATAAACATGCCTCACCTAACTCTGGTGTAAATGAATATCAACAAATTTCCAAACAATAATGTCACTGAAAAATATTCCTTCAAGTATGTTTATATTAGACATTTCTTTATTATTAATATCTTTTTCTAAAACATAAATTTCATACTGCTGCAATAACATTTTAAGATGGACACTTCTACTTCTATTTTAAGATTGTGTAATTTGGGTGAAAATAAAAAAAATAATATTTGTATAATTATGATTATAGGGGGTTGAATTAAGTCAGTGCACATGGCAATATTTTTTAGTTTGTGCATATCCAAAATCAGTCTTGGATGGCTTAATTTTTTAGAGTAATGGTAACTCCTTTGATTATATATCGATTATCGAAGTGTTGACTTCCAATTTGATTTCACATTAGTGTTATACCATTTCTGAATGTGCAGTAGTCATACAAAACATTTATAAAAATTGTCAGTCGGGTGATAATGTCCTTTTAAGGCAAAAAATAACAATTATTTATTTTGTACTTCTTATTTATAATTTCAACTACAAGGATCTGACAATGCAATATATGGTATATCACTTATCATTTATTTGTCTGTTGAGTAAAACTTACATAATTTATGTTTATTTGTTGAAGTCTTCTACTCATAATATAGTTGGAATAATAATAAAATATATTGTTGTGTCCTTTCTGGAAAATTTTACAAATTGTTTGAGAATATGAGGTTATCACGAGGATACTGCAAAGTGTGCACAAAGACAGTACAGCGGGAGTATCATCTAACGCGCAGCGAAGGTCAATGTGACCAAATATTATTATAGATCTTTTCCTCCCAGGAATACGTCATGGGAATGCCGAAATCCAAAATGTTTAGAACGGATTTAGCAAACTTCTTTGTGTGGGGTCAGGTCAAACCCTGGGGGCAGCCATGTTTTTTTTTTACTCCCAGGTGCGAAGCACACAATAGGAGTCTTTGCAGTTAGCCTGTCTGTATGTATGTGCGTGTGCGTGTGTGGTAACAAGGATGTGACAACTTTCATTTTACTGTACACCGACATGACCTACATTGTGACGACCCTCACTATTTTCATAATTTATATTAATATTTAAACGAATTTAAGTCATGTTTGCCGTGCTTAGGTTTAGTAAGGTATGGTTAGGTTAGGTAGGTATTGTTCAATTAATATTAATATAATTGTACCATATCTTCCCCCTTTACTAAACCTAAGGTTTGCAAACATTTCTATGTTCTGTCACAGGATATTCAACTTTTATTTAATTAAACTTAATTGAAACTCAATTCTACGTTGAATTGCATTGTAATTGAGTTTAATTAAACTCCAATTAAAATGCAACCCTATATAGGAATGCGTTTTAATCGAGTTTATATCGCAACTATATTAAAAGTTATATATCCAATGTGTGTCATCACAATGATAGTAAGACATGCATGTGTGCATGCATGCGTGCGTGCGTGAGTGAGTTCGGACCTGTATTTTAGAAATGCCCGGACCAATCATGATCAAACCTCACACATACATCATACATGATATTATACATATGCACATCAATTTGTTTCACGATCTGATTCAAGATGGCCGAATGGCGGCCCTTATTGCGCTAAAAAATCATCAAAATCAAGCATTTCAAGGCTGTTTACAGATCGATTTTGTTCAAACTTGGTACCGTATATACATTAGACATTATGATGCAAATAATTTTGTTTTTCAGATAAGATTCAAAATGATCGACTGGCGTCGTGTTATAGATATATACATGTATTAAAAATGACTGATTTTGAATGCTGTTCCAGAGCAATATCTCTCAATATGGACAAGTACTTGTTTATGATCAGATACAAATGTCAATCATTTTAATGTTGAACAATCATCATAATCATATTCCTGACATGGTTGTATTCCAGCTATATTACTATATAATAAACAAAACTAAATTCAATAACTAACAGGGACTGTGCCATGCATGGCTTGTCACTCTCTATTTTCTTCACACAAGCGAAGCATTCTTGGAACAAGCGCTATCCAATCGGTGTGGTGTCTGGTACCAAAACCAGCAGAGCCTGGAGCTGAACTTCGTGCCCAACTTGATCTCTCGTTTTTTCCCCCAAACCCAGGTACCACTAACTTTTATTTGGCTGGACGGGTAGAGGGGGATGTACGTGCTCCGTGGAGTTCCTTATGTCTTTGTCAGAAACAGTCCACCATGCCCTGAGAGCAGATTTGCGACCATTAACCTTTTGGAGTTTGTGACCAGCAGTGGAATGCATTAGAGTGCATCTCCAGGACTCTGAAATCTCAGAGATGGAATGCAGCAGCCTTCTAGACCAGCAGACACAGTTGATGGCAAGGCATCACACTACTATGTATGATATCCTGCAGTGTCATCCGGCTCCCTTTGCAGGGGCTACCTCTGTGCAGCAGGATGCTGTTTTGGCGCATTGATTTTCGCTAGTGATAGATGTCCCCCAATGTAGAACCGCCAACCCATGGCCACATATTCCTGTTGCACACCGATTGCGCCAGTGTATTCTGGCTTGGAAGCAGCAGGGTAACCGACCTGTGGACCCCGATAGGAGGTAGGCAGTTTTATTATGAAGGGAGCAATATACAGGGTTATACTGTTATATGTTGCATGGAGACACGAACACTATTTTATTCTCTGTGTACCATTTTGATTGGTTAGCCACGCTCGACTTGAGCGATGCTTACCTGCACAAACCGATGCACCCAGCGAGTCATTGACTCCTTTGAATCGCCCATTTGGGCCAATTATTTAAATTCACGATGCCCCCTTTGGATTATGCATGGCTCCATATGTGTTCACCAACACATCAGTTTCTGTCATGGAGTTCGACACAGAGGCAGGCTTGGTGCATCCATCTCAGACTCGTTGCCTAGCAATAAGCAGTCTAGCGAACATTTAGTCAGCATTCCCTCTGTGTCTCTCCAACAACTGATGCGGATTAGGATGATGACGTCAGTTGCAGGGACGGTCCCAAGATAGAACTATTTGCCACGCTCCAGAAGCGTGGGTTACGAACGTATTATCGATATGGACGTGTATGCGTTTCTCCCTTTCCACTGATTCATCAAGTACTGAAGGCACACCTGCATCTTGACACTGGTTTATCAGAGCGGGCTGCCAACATCCCGGCCAGGGCGAATA